TCTCCCTGCGCAAGCCGGCCATTTCCAGCTTGGCTTTCAAGCTTTTTCGCCAGCAGGGTGCGCCGCTCGGTCTCGCGAAGGCCCGCGAGGAACGCAAAACTGCATCGATGTCAGGTGAGACCTCGGCTGCGACGGGAAGGATAGAAGCGCTCGTTGCAGCCGCGCTGGCAGCGATGCGATCCAACGTCGCCTCCACCGCCACCGGCGCAGGCCCGCCCTCCGTCACGGCCTCCGCGCCTGCCGACGCGACGGCCCAGTCCGTCCCTGACGGCCCCAAGGCAGGCCCCCGCTCGGACGAACAGGGCCGAGGACAAAGGCTATCGGCAAAGGGACCCGCGGCTGCCTAGTGAGAACCTGCCCAGGGGCTCCGACGCAACCGCAAGCCCCACCGATGCGCCAGTGCCTACCCTGTCAGCCGAAGCAGACGCCCAACCCCTACGTAGGCTGGCGGCGCGCAGAAGGGGGTGGAGGGAGGGGGGAGGGTTTCTTAGAAGGAGGCTGCTTCTTAGAAGGCGCGGGCCTTACATCTAAAAACAAGGCCCGCGCCTTCTAAGAAGCAGGGGTGCTTCTAAGAAGCCCTCCCACCTCCCCCCACCCCCCTCTGCGCATGGCTGAGTAGGGACAACAACGGATGGAGAGGGGTCGTCAGGCACATCGGAGTCCGAACCAGGCGGGCGGAGGGGACCACAACGGATGGCAACGGGCAGTCTTGGCACCATCGGGCACCCGCCCTTTCCCATGGACGGAGGCGCAGCCAGAAGGGCTCAAGCTGGGGGTTCGGGGCAAAGTTTCGCCAGGGATCGAGCCAACGGCTACGGGTAGCAAAGAAGGTCGTGGTGACGATGGCGATGCTGCCGAAGTCGAAGAGCCCTCGGCCACGCCTGCGCAACACCGAGTCCATGACACTCAAACCGGCCGCGTCGGTGTTACAGTTTCCGCTGGTCGGCTTTCGCGCTCCGGTCGGGGCTGCGGGAACGGCGGCCCGAGGTGACATGAAAACGTTTCACCCTGGAGCCTCCGAGAGTCCCAAAACACAGTTTTCGGCCGATGAGGGCTCTGTGCGGGGAGGGGGGGGTACAGAAGCTCTGGTACTCACGGGGGAGTGGGACAGTCTGTTAACCCCTGTCCCGGCCGCGTGTCCGATAGTCGACCTGCCGATGAGGACAAATGTTGCGACGGGGTAGGTTTTGTCCGCTGCGCGCGAGCAACGAACTGGAAACCAACCTGCTGATGCTACGCCACCTCCTGTCCCAACAGTCCATCAGGCGTGGGCCCTGGCCCCGAAAAGATCATGCCGACAGGCTCAGCCCACCTCACACCCTGATTTCACGGGCGCAGAACGGTATAACAGAAACTTTTTCGCCGTCGGGGACACCTGCCCCAGGGGCAGGTGTCCCCGACGGCGAAAAAGTTTATGTTATACCGTTCTGCGCTCGCTGACTGATGTCAGCCTGCCAGAGCTGCGGAAACTCTCACAAGTGCTCCAAGATGGCTCTGAAAGGCTCAGACTTACCATCTAGGGTTGACCTGCAGTTGAATAGGTAAGAACTGCGTCAAGCTCCTCTCTTTGTTGCTCGCCCCTCTCATCCTCCTCCGCCTCTCCTCCTCCACTCAAGAAGCTTGGACTCGAGCAGCCCGCTTGGCTTGGCTCGAGAACAAGCTTCGCGCCGTCTTGAAGTTCTCAGGGGGCATCGAGTGTACCGCGAATTTTCCGTGCAGTCCATCTCGGTGCCGAAAGTCCAGTTGGCACAGGCAAGTGTGCTGGTGTAGTCACCTTCTCCGCGTGCTTCAACGGGTCAGCTCGCCACGTCCACGGCGGTTGAGGCTGTCCATCCCCAGTTATGATTGTTTTCTACGCGGGTTTCAGAGACCAGCTCGCCACGTCCATGGGTGCAGTAGTTCCTATTGCATGTCTGGTGATGGTTTGCCCTCCCAGGCGTTTGGTGTGCCAGAGGCCCTTGTCCTAGTGGCATACCGCATGGGGTTCAGCGGCGTGCTACAGAATGGTGGGACTATCTCAATGCAGGTCGTTTCCTTCTTGGTGGTGGACGTGCCGGCTGGCCGTATTCCAGGCCGCGCAATGTCTGCTCATACCCCTATGCGTTAGCAGGTTGCGCGTGTTTCCCGGCGTTATGGGCACGTGGTGGATTTTACTGATCTGTCTCTTCAACGTCGTCTTATGCAAAGGTAGACCATACACGGGCTTGTCGTTCTCAATTTCTCGCTGGTCTTGAGGTCCTGTCCGTGTAGCTTGAACATCCATTCAATAAGCGTGGGTATCTTTGTCTGAGGATGCCCAACACACGCTGACCACAACTGTGGAGGAGGCCCAGCTCGTTTGTGTGATTGTGTGTTGCCGCTTGTACTTGTTCGTTTCTGGTGGGATGAAAGAACATTGGTCAATAATGGAGGTGGTCATGGCGGGATCCGTGTGCTCCGACTGCTTCGCCGGGCTCGGTCGGAGTATCTAGTCGTGTCGCCCCTCTTCTTGCTCACTGTGCTCTCGAAGGTCCGGGGTGGCTCGCAGAGTGCTCCGTCAAGATTGCTGCGCAGCCGTTCCAGATCCGAGCCCAAATCCCCTCCCCCTCCTCGTCCTCCTCCTCACGTCCCGGGCTCGAGAAACCACGCGTCGGGATGGGCCAGAGAGCTGCGGCCGTGGCCGTGCTTCCCGGCGCCGTGGCTCTCTCGCGGCGGCAGGCGGGCGGGCGGGCACGTGGGCACGAGGGGGAGGCCACGAGCGCACCTCGAGCGCACCGCCGGGGACGACGCGCGGCCTCTCCGGAGGGCGACCAGGGGGGCAAGAGGGCGAGGGGCGAGAGCACGCGGAGGGGGCGGGGAGGGCCCAAGCGTTGTGGAAGTCGATTAATTAATGGAGAGGAAGCATGCTGCCAAATAATTTACAGATGACTCAAAAATGCTTCAAACATATGGTAAATACGTGAAAGTATGTTTGAAACGTTATTAGAACATGCTTGTACATGTAAAACACTTTGTTAATTCAATGATCGGGTTGTTAGAGTGTCCATTGTCATGGCATCCACAACCCAAGCGCAGCCTGGATCTCAAGAGGTCGACCTGCCAGTGCGCGCCGACGGTTCGAGCAGGAGGCAACCTGCAAACAAACAAGCACGTGCCCCAAAGTTCATAACTCCTCACAAGTTTGCGATAACTCTAAGAGCTCTTTGTAGACCCAGCGACAAAATGCGAGGCAAACCAATTCTTAGAAGCCTCCTGGGTGGGGTCCGAGTAGATGGGGTCGGAGGATCGCACCGCATCGCAAATGCATCGAGGATTCATCGGCGATGCATCGCCGACGTCGGCGACGCATCGGCGACGTCGGCGTGGAGAAAATCGGGCTCCGCATCGAGCCGCATCGTCGATGCGTCGGCGATGCGGCGCGATCCTCCGACCCCCTCTATCCCGACCCCATCTCGGACGAGGCCTAAGAGCTCTGCAGCCGATCCCCCCCCTCGACCTGTCGGGGGCACCGCCAGCGTGCTGCCCCGAGCAGCGCCGGGCACGACACGAACGAGCCACTCCGGGCCACAGCGAGCCTCGACCGACGGCCCCCGCTTCGGCAGTCTGCCGGAGGATCCTGTGGCAGCAGTGGCAAGCGACGGCACCACACCACGAGGGACCACCACTAGGAGGAGGAGGAGGAGGAGGAGGAGGAAGAAGAAGAGGAGGACGAGGAGGCGGAGGAGGAGGAGGCGGAGGAGGAGAAGGAGGAAGAGGAGGAGGAGGAGCCAGAAGGGGGGGGGCCCTGGTGGTGAGCACCCCCCCTGCTCGCTCAAGACGCCCCCCGTCCCCGATTCGGGGAGGCGTCGTGACCTTCCCTGCTGGAGGTCGCCCCCCTGGTGGTGGCGATGTCGTGTCTCCTCCCCCCGACCCCAGGGAGTGGCGGCGACTCTCCTGCCGTTGCCACCCCGCGCCCCCGCTGCGCTGCTCCGCCGCAGCCCGACCAGAGCATCTCTTCCCTCCAGCACGGATCTGGCATCGGCAGGTCCGAAGCGGGTACGGACAGAAACGCAAACGATGCCGAGCAGCAGCGAACGAACGAACAAGCTGTCATCGCCGCAGAGGGCGACCCAAAGATGAGCGACAGGCGTGCGCGAGCACGGTGGCCCTTCGGAAAGAGAAAATCAGCGCGGTACATTCTCACATCCATCTGACGTTCACGAATTCGTCTTCGTGCTTTTCCCTGGCGGTGGTGGTGGCTGGCGATGCCCAACAGCAGACGTCGCCCTAAAACGACAGCAGCCGCTGTTGGGAAGGCGACTTTGTGAGTCGAAAGGGCCACATCCGCGGCGACACCAGCAGCGAGTCTTGCTCCAAAAACGGGCAGGAGCTGCTGCTGGTCTATATCTGCACCCTCTGCGTGGCCCGCTTCGCTCGTGCCGACGAAGGCACCTCACCCCCCAGACTCGGGAGCGGCCAAGAGGGGGGTGTCCAAGAGGGGGGGGTGCAAATCATGACCGGCGGCATGTGCGCGGCCCAGCGGGGGGGCCAGGGACGTAATGAAACAAGACAGGGCGCCATGAAATCTGTGAAGTATCATGCCCCCCGCCATGATATCCACCCCCCCCTAGTCATCCCACCCCCTCTTTTCCGCCCCCCCCAGACATCAGGCGTCGTGATGACGGCCACAGCGTGGCCAACCAGAGGCCTGGATCCCTCCCCCGGGACCGGCGTTTCGTCCCGAGTCGTTGCTGACGGTCCCACGGCCGGGCGAGGGCCACCGGAGATGGAAAAAAGAAGCCAGAGAACAATCGGGCACGCGCAGGCGTCTCACAACGAGAAGATTGACGGGGCCCTGGGACACACAAATAAACACACACACACACAAATAACAAGGTTCCCCATATTTTCCCATATTTTCGGGTTTTTTGTCTTCCCGCCCAATTCCCGTATTTTCCCATGTTCTCTTGGGGATCGACGTTTAATTCTGCCTGTGTTTTTTTTGGCTCCTGAAAGATGTCCGGGGCCCTCGGGGGCGGCGCCTCTGCACGCGGCGCACCTCCTCGATGGGGCCGCCGAACCCCGAGTAGCCTTTCGCGCCCCGCCACTCGTGGGCCCTGTGGCTTTGGCCTCGGCGGGCCCTCCTCCTCGTCCTCCTGCTCCTCCCCACGATCAGGGTTATCCTCATCACCACCACCACCACCAGCCACAGCATCAGCCTCAGACTCATCAAGGTCACGATCATGATCATCATCATCATCATCATCATCATCATCATCATCATCATCATCATCATCATCATCAGCAGCAGCAGCAGCAGCAGCAGCAGCACCATCATCCTCGTCCTCAGCATCATCATCAGCATCATCATCAGCATCACCATCATCACCATCATCATCGTCGTCGTCGCCGTCATGGTCATCCGTCGCCATCATCATCGTCATCACCACTGGCAGCAACAGCAGCTTCGACACCACCAGCACCACCGCAGCCACCACCATCATTATCATCAGCAGCATCGTCATCGTCGTCATCAGCATCACCATCATGGCGGCATCATCATCTTTACCATCAACCTCATCATGATAATGATAATCATCATCGTCAGCAGCTGCAGCATCGGCATCATCATCATCATCATCATCATCATCATCATCATCAACAGCATCATCATCACCGTCGGCACCATCGCCATCAGCAGCATCAGCACAGTCATCATCAGCAACATCATCAACATCATCAGCAGCATCACCGCCGTCATCATCATACGCATCATCATCAAAATCAGCATCATCATCATCATCATCATCATCAGCAGCAGCACCCTCATCAGATCAGCATCAGCAGCATAATCATCATCAGCAACATCATCATAAGCATCATCAGATTTAACTATGTTTATCAATTTCACCCCCTCCTCCTCCTCATCATCCTCCTACTTCCTCCCCCTCTACCTCCCACTCATCGCGTTCCTCCTCCTGCTTGCTCCCCTGCCCCCCACCCCCTTTCCCCCCACCCCACCCCACCCCACCCCCACCCGCTCGGTCCACCACGCCTCCTCCTCCTCCTCCTCCTCCTCCTCCTCCTCCCCCTCCTCCTCCTCCTCCGCCTCCTCCTCCTCCTCCTCCTCCTTCCTCCTCCTCCTCCGCCTCCTCCTCCGCCTCCTCCTCCTCCTCCGCTTCCTCCTCCGACTCCGCCTCAGCATCCTCCTCCCGTCACTCCAAAAAGACAGCACCGCATTGGAGGGCGCCCTCTCTCCGTCGTCGTCGTCGTCCCCCCTCTACCTACCGCTCATCGTGTTCCTCCTCCTCCTCCTTGCTCCCTGACCCCCCCCCCCACCCACCCCCCAGCCCACCCCCCCCCACCCGCTCGGTCCACCACGCCTCCCAATCCTCCTCGTCCTCCTCCTCCTCCTCCTCCTCCTCCTCCTCCTCCTCCTCCTCCTCCTCCTCTCCTCCCCCTCCTCCTCCTCCTCCTCCTCCTCCTCCTCCTCCTCCTCCTCCGCTTCCTCCTCCGACTCCGCCTCGGCCTCCTCCTGTCCTGGACGACGTCCTGGACGTCGTCGTCCAAGCCTACGGCCCAAGCTTTCCAGCCCCTCGCCCGCCTCATCCTCCTCATCACGCATTGTCCCTATCCTCCTCCTGCTGCTCCTCCTCGTCGTCATCCTCCTCATCATCAGCATCACCACCACCACCATCATCGTCATCATCATCAACAGCATCAGCATGATGATGATCATCATCATCACCATCATCATCACCACCACCATCATCATCAGCAGCATCATCATGAGCATCATCAGCATCATCGTCATCATCGGCATCACCGCCACCTTCATCATCATCATCATCATCATCATCATCATCATCGTCATCATCATCATCATCATCATCATCATCATCATCATCATCACCATCACCATGACCATCACAAGTACCATCACAATCATCATGCTCGTGATGATGATGCTGGTGATGATGAGCAGCGTCATCATCGTCGTCATCAGCAGCAGCAGCATCGTCATCATCGTCATAATCGCCACCATCAGCATTATCAGCATCATCATCAGGATCATGCTCATCATCAGCAACATCGTCATCGTCATCGTCATCAGCATCATCACGATCAGGATCAGCATCATCGTCATCTCCAACATCAAAAACATTACCATCACCATCATCGTCATCACCACCATCGCCATCGTAATCAACAACCCCACCATCAACATCACCTTCATCACCACCATCATCACCATCATCATCGGCACCTTCGTCATCAGCATCATCATGACCAGCGTCATCATCACAAACACCACCCGCATCATCATCATCTCCATACAAAAAACCACAACCTCCATACTCACCATTTTTCGTCAGCGTAATAATCGTTTTCAGCATCACCATCAACAACAACAGTCTCATCATCATCATCACCATCATCATCGTCATAACCAACATCCTCACAGCCACGACCATCATCAACATCTATCGTCAGCATCACTATCATAATCAGCATCATCATCCTGAGCTTAACCATCAGCATCATCATCATCATCATCAGCAGCAGCATCATCATCAGCATCATCATCATCAGCATCATCACCATCATTTCTCGGTGTCGTTCAGACGCGGCCCTCCTCCTCCTCCTCCTCCTTCTCCTCCTCCCCCTCCTCCTCCTCCTCTCCCTCCCTCCCTCCCTCCCTCCCTCTCGACTCTCCTTCCGCCTAACCTGTCTCTGTACTCCATCAACCTCCCTGCCGACCTTCGCCTTCCCCTCTTCTTCCTTCCCCATCCTCCACCTCTCCATCTCTCCACCCGTCCATCGCTCCTCAACCCCATCAGCCTCTGACCCGCCCTCCTTCCCTACTTCCTGAAAGCGGCGACAGGCGGGACGTCAGCCGCAGGGGCGACCAACAAACTGATTGTCATCCGGTTCCTTCCCATCCTCCCCTTCTTCCTCTCATCATCCATACAATGGTCAGCATCATGATGTAATGATCCTGTCCTTCCGCTGCGTCATCATCCGCATCATCGGTATTATCCTCCTCTCTACTAATCCGAGGCCTCCAGATCCATCCAGGAACGATCAAAATCAAGCGCTTACCGATGCAAGGAGCTATATGCGCAGCACAGTACACACTCTCTTCCGCATTATGGGGGGATTATCTGGCGCAGTCTGTGTGGCGCAATACATGTGGTGCAGTATGGGTGATGCCCAGGGCTGGTGCCTAAAGGCTAGTGCCGACCATCGGGCACAAACACCAGCCATGGGGGCACCAACCGGAAACGACCGAACGCAGCCACGAGAAAACCAAGGGGGCACCAACGCATTGCCCACCAGCCCTGGGCCACAAAACCACAACGGCCGATTGTAACACAGAGGGCCAGTCACAGGGCACCAACGTACAGGGCACCCGCCAGAGGGCACCGACTAGCATCGGCCGTCTGCGGCACATAGGGAACCATGACTTCCTGAGTCGTGCACCACTCGTAAGGCAACGACCGGCAACAGCCGACTGAGGCGCGGCGGGCCAACCAAAGGGTTCCGACGAGCACCAGCCATCCGTAGGGCGCGACCGGGGCCTGGGGAAACCGAAAGGCACTGATACCGCTGCTCCCAGGACCTCTCCTGAGGTGCGTTCTGACCAAAGTTTCGAGGCGAATCCAGCCGTGGCGACGAGGGCCTCCCACGAGGCCGAAAGAGGGGAGCACAAGGGAAGGGTAGCAATAGGAGTGCCTTTGCCTCCCCGGAGGGCCAGCCGACTGCGACATTGGAGCGCCAGCCACATGGCACCAACGCGTCACCGACCAGGAGCGGCCGCCTAGGACACGGCGGGCCTGGCCACAGGGCACGCACGCACGGGGCACTGGGCACGACCGCTGTCGCAGCGAGGGCCAGCCATGGGGCCCCAACGCACAAGGCACCAGCCCAGGCATGATCGCGTCGCGAAAAAAAATCACGACGGGGGCCTTCTGGGCAATTCGCAGCCACCGGTGACCCTCGCTGGGCCCTGGGACCGTCAAAAACGACGCAGGATGAAAAACCGGTCCTGGGGAAGGGATCGGGACTTCCGGGGACCGCACACTGAAAAAATCAGGACGTCGCATGTCTGGGAATGCACAGGGCACCAGCCAAGGGCACTAGCCGTAAGGCACCGACCAGGAACGGCCGAATGCGACACCTGTTGCCAGCGCCTCATCCAAGAAAGTACCCCTGGGTGCATGCACTACTCAGGGCAGAAACTGCGGCGCAGGAAGACGAACTTCGAAAGCGGTTGGCAACCTCACGACAGCCTCCTGCACTGTGGCACAGTGTGCATGGTGGGCATGCACGAGCCTCCCCCCCCCCCCTCCAAGACCCCCGATGCCGTGATCGTTTCGCAGCGTGGTCCTTCAGAGCTCTGGAGCTTTTCCGTGGGACACAAGCTGCTCATCCCGGAATGCCTTTTGACGACCCTGAGGCCTGGTGAGGTCCCCCAGATGCCGAACACGGCCGAAAACTCGCCGTCGTTGCCTGTTGCATGATGCTGCTCACATGTTCAGTTTCTGTTCACTCCCTCTGCCAGCGGCTCCTCCGAAACTCGAACCCGAGGAGGGGGAGGAGGAGGAGGAGGAGGAGGAGGAGGAGGAGGAGGAGGAGGAGGAGCAGCAGGAGGGGGAGGGGAGGATGAGGGGGAGGAGGAGGAGGAGGAGGAGGAGGAGGAGGAGGAAGGAGGAGGAGGAGGAGGAGGAGGAGGAGTGGCGGCAGCGGGAGAAGGCGAAGAGATAATGCTTTACACCCGAGCGAGACGCGCCCTCGGATCTGTCTCGGGTCTTTC